TATTTTCAAGGATGTTCACTGAAGAACTGTTTATAACGGCAAAAAAAAAAAAAAAAACAAGAAAGAAAATCCCACAAAACCCACCTGTAAACAATGAAATATTCAACAGTAGAACACTGGTTAATCATTTTTTAATCTTTTAAAAAGTTTTTAATTTTTATTTTATTTTTTGAGACAGAGTCTTGCTCTGTTGCCTAGGCTGGAGTGCAGTGGCACAATCTCGGTTCACTGCAACCTCCCCAACCCAGATTCAAGTGATTCTCCTGCCTCAGCCTCCCAAGTAGGTGATGGTACACACACCACCATGCCCAGCTAATTTTTGTATTTTTAGTAGAGACAAGGCTTCACCATATTGCCCAGGCTGGTCTCGAACTCCCGACCTCACATGATCCCACCGCCTTGGCCTCCCAAAGTGCTGAGATTAGAGGTGTGAGCCACCATGCCTGGCCACTAAATACCTTTAAGAAGAATATTTTTGTGCTAAGCCAAACAAAACAAAACAAAGAAAACAGAAGAAAAGGTTGTCTACCAAATTTGACTGCAAGGGAAGACATAATAAATTATTCAACAAACACTACTTGCCTACTATGTGCTGGTGGGGATGGGATGGAGGTGAAAGACAGTCTCGGTCCTCATGTGCTTCATTTTGGTGGATGACTCATGTAAATCCCACAGACAGAAAGGCTACTGTCCCTAGAACCTAAGAGGCAAAGTACCTCTACCAAGGCAGTGAAGGACAGTCAAGTTTGACCCTCAAAGATCAGTTGGACCAAGTATAGAAGCTAAGCCCCATTACAGAGATATAGTGAGCCAGTATCAAGTGTAACCTACAACTGTTTTTTTTTTTTGAGACGGAGTTTTGCTCGTTACCCAGGCTGGAGTGCAATGGGGCGATCTCGGCTCACCGCTACCTCTGCCTCCTGGGTTCAGGCAATTCTCCTGCCTCAGCCTCCTGAGTAGCTGGGATTATAAGCACGTGCCACCATGCCCAGCTAATTTTTTGTATTTTTAATAGAGATGGGGTTTCACCATGTTGACCAGGATGGTCTTGATCTCTTGACCTCGTGATCTACCTGCCTCAGCCTCCCAAAGTGCTGGGATTACAGGCGTGAGCCACCACGCCCGGCCAACCTACAACTGTTTTATGTGGGGTAAGGTGAAATTAGGGAACAAATTGGTTGGGGATGCCCCATTCTTAAGGGGTTCCCCTGGTAAGCATAAGGGGGAATTTCCTTGAATATGGTAGTACCCTAACAATAAGTATAGGAGTTAGAGGGGGAGAACACATCCCTGCTTGTTGGAGACTGGAAGGGCTTGGGGAATTCCTAAAAACTCCATTCACAGCATAGGAGATCCCCTTCTGTTACTCAAAGTTCCCTTCTTACGGAGTATCATGAGATATTTGTGATTACTATCCCTTTGAGCTTTGTTTCTGAGTTTAGAGGAAGACAATTGAACACATACGTATATATATATATATATACACACACACACACACACACACACACACACACTGGCATACATACTCAATCACACACACTGATACTATTTGTAAGTTCAGTGGTCCTAGAATTTAAGTAATTTATTTGTAACACTTGAATCTAGAGTCATTCATTCCTAATTAGTCCATGTTTAAACATAACTTCAGACAGAAGACAATGTGGATTTTATAAAACATAAGGTAAGATATATGTTTGAGAAAAAGGTAGTTCTGACACAACACAATTACGAATTTAAACGTTTTTGGTTGACTCTGGCACTACTAGAAAGCAAAAATATTAACATAAACTTATATAGTGCCTATTACGTACCAGGGATACGACATGAGAAGCAGCAAAGATTTGAATTCAACAGATTTGGAATGAAAGCAGGCTTTAGAATTGAAATAAAAATTCTTAAGTCCATTTTTCACTTCCCATCACCTTTTTCCTAGGTAAGTAATTAACTTCAGTAACTCTTCCCTCTTTTTGGGGGGTGGAGGCTGTAGTGGTTAAAATATAATACATGTATTTATTTTCAAAATGCCTAGAATTAAAAAAACATGCATTAAAAACAAATGGCATTCTTCCATATGTGGCACATATTATATACAGCCATACTAGGCAGAGGTCTTATTTCTTAAGGGTACAAATTAGGTCAAGATCACAGACTCTGTCTTAAAACTTCCCAGCAACTAAAATAAAGCAGGACAAAACAAAAACAAACAAACAAACAAACAAACAAACACCCTACAACTACACCCACCTGAGGAACTGTATCAGAATTTCAAGCTCTTGATCACTGGTGGCCTAGCGACAATATGTTTACTACTGGAAAAATAACTCAAAAACAAAATCCTTTTGTAAAAGGCCAGTAGTATTCTTTACATTAAAATTACATTTAATCTGTAAAATAGAACCAATGTTTTTTGTTTGATATACAACACTGCTCATTTACACAGGTATTAAAATTACCTGTGTAAAGTTAATCAAGTGAATGTTGCTTTGAAAAAACCCATACAATCAATATATGAGTCTGGATGTAGATTTATGTGTTTAGTTCACTTAAAAAATATGAAGACAGTTGGGTGCGGTGGCTCACGCCTGTAATCCCAGCACTTTGGGAGGCCGAGGCGGGTGGATCACAAGGTCGAGAGATCGAGACCATCCTGGTCAACATGGTGAAACCCCGTCTCTACTAAAAATACAAAAAAAAATTAGCTGGGCATGGTGGCACATGCCTGTAATCCCAGCTACCCAGGAGGCTGAGGCAGGAGAATTGCCTGAACCCAGGAGGCGGAGGTTGCGGTGAGCCGAGATCGAGCCATTGCACTCCAGCCTGGGTAACAAGAGTGAAACTCCGTCTCAAAAAAAAAAAAAAAAATGAAGACAAATGGTATTTTATAATACGTTTGAGAAGACTCATTTATTTAAATATTTAGATTTTTTTTTAACTTTTTTTTTTTTTTTTTTTTAAAAGATGGGATTTCACCATGATGGCCAGGCTGGTCTTGAACTCCTGACCTCAGGTGATCCACCTACCTCGGCCTCCCAAAGTGCTAGGATTACAGGCGTGAGCCACCACGTCCAGCCAATATTTAGTTATTTTTAAAAGACTAGTCAAGCGGAAGTGGGGAAAGAGTGGTACAAAGGGTAACCAACTGTGAATAACCGGTTGAGAAAATTTACTACCTCGGGACCAGCCAAAGCTTGCTTTTTAAAGTAACCTTAAAAAACACAACATATTCTACATTATACAAAGCTTTACATATTGCTCTTAGTTTGGAAATCTAAAAAATTTTTTTTTTTTTTTTTTTTTTTTGAGACGGAGTTTCGCTCTTGTTACCCCGGCTGGAGTGCAATGGCGCGATCTCGGCTCACCGCAACCTCCGCCTCCTGGGTTCAGGCAATTCTCCTGCCTCAGCCTCCTGAGTAGCTGGGATTACAGGCACGCGCCACCGTGCCCAGCTAATTTTTTGTATTTTTAGTAGAGACGGGGTTTCACCATGTTGACCGGGATGGTCTCGATCTCTTGACCTCGTGATCCACCCGCCTCGGCCTCCCAAATTGAAGAGAACAAGAATCATAACTAGAGGGTCTAAAAATTGTAACAGCTGCTCTTTATAAAACATATATAACCTGCTCTTTATAAAACATATATAACTTTATTTACACTAATATATTATGTAGGAGGTTCAAGCCTCTAACATAAACCTTCCCATTAGATAGATAATCTATAACCCTAAAGAGTTCATGTATATTTCTCATTTTATGCACATATGTATTATTAATTTAAAAATTTGCCCTGCCATATATTCGTTTCTGGTGAATAATTATCTCGAGCATTTTATTAGTTTGTGATTCAACTTCTAATATATGTTACTTAAGAGTAAAAGGCCCCTCCACAACTTTCCATAACTTCAAAGCATCTTTTTTTAACCTGAAATAGGCTTAAACTCTAAAGTCAGGAGATGAGTCTAAACACTTTAGTATTTGCTAAATTTAGCATATCAAAATTTTTTTCAAGGAGTATAAGGGCCTTAAATTGGAAAAAACTACTATATTTGTGGGACTTCATTTCCAGTTCGTTCTGCTGGAATCAATCTGAATTCCATGTAATGTAAACAGTCCGAAAAAAATCTTAAAAACGAACTGTTGTCTTTAAACACATAATCTTCGGAGCCGCTCACAGCATCCGTAGAAGCAGACTCCTCCCCGCTCCCGGGGAAAACCCTGCCTAATATTTATAACGTTATGACATACTGTAATACTCACAAGGTGGTTGTAGAAGTATAAACATGACTGGAGTTATCTGATTGGCTGCTGGTGATGTAACACCCATGTCAATACTTCCCAGTGAACGCACGTGTTCGACCTTTTATTTAAATTTCCATTTCATCACAGCAATAAGACACTCGGGGCGGTGCATTTTCTGTGAAATGATTATTGCCCTGGGCCCGAGGTGCTGCCTCGCACAATGCATCAGAGGAGGTGGTGTCCGTGGTCGTAACCTCCTCGCGTGTAAGGCAACGCCTGGTCCAGTCTTTGTGAAGGAACAAAATAAGTTCACTTCCTTGGGCACCGACACCCACCCTCAGCAAATGACAAGGCTGGAGCGCAGCTCCCACCGCACAGTTATTTGCAAAGTCCCAGGTGAACTCGTGGCGAGAGAAGGAAATGCGCGTCCCGGGCGCGGGTAGGTGCGTGTGGGCAGCGGGGAGGCGGCCAGATCCTGACACTCGCCAGCTGTTTGTCCTCCGCGTAGCCCGGCCCCGGCCGCACACACCCGCCCCCTCCCTGAGACCCCCAGCCCGCCGCCCGGCCTTTTGTCCCCCGCCCCTCGGCCGACTTCCTTCCCTGCGGCCGCACCCCCGCCCCCAGGCCGGAGGCGCGGCCCAACCCCTTTCCCGGTCCCCTGGCGCCCCCACCCCACCCCAGCCCAGCCCCAAGCCCAGCCCCCCTCCCCCAGCCCGCCCCCACCCTTTCCCCCTCCAGCGGTTACTGCTACCCCGGTGCATTGTGGGCGCACGGTCCGTTGTTCATTTGCCATTCGACCTCCGCCAGGGCCTGGTCGGACGGAAACGCTCCGCCGGCTTTATTGTCGCTTCGTTATGTGGCGGAGCCGAGCAGCTTAGCGTGCCTCTCAGCGCCTGCGAAGCCGGCGGCAGCGTCGGAACTCGGCGCGCGGAGGAAGGATATCTGTGTGGAGGGTCGGTGTGTGCGCGCGGCTTTAAAGAGGGGGCAGCGAAGGGTCTCCCCGCACTCCGCCGCTCAACTTCGAAGGCCTCGCGCGCCCCCGGCTAGCTCCTCACCTCTCCGCCGCCCGCCCCCTTCTCCGCGCGGGACGCTGCCCATAGCGCGGCGGGGCGGGGGTGGAGAACGAGAGAGCGGCCGGAGGCGGCGGCCCGGCAGCGGTAGCGGACGCGTGCGGCAGCCCCGGGAGCGAGCGCGAGCCGGGCTGCCGGGCGGGAGGGCGAGGCCGAGCCCCGCGAGACCGGAACGCCGGGGCGGGGGCGAGACGAAGGGGGAGCCGCGGGGAGCGCGCGGGACGCGGCCCGAGGCCGTGCGCGAGCCGGGGCACCGGGCGGCGGCGGCGCGCGCCATGTCGTTCAGTGAAATGAACCGCAGGACGCTGGCGTTCCGAGGAGGCGGGTTGGTCACCGCCAGCGGCAGCGGCTCCACGAACAATAACGCTGGCGGGGAGGCCTCAGCTTGGCCTCCGCAGCCGCAGCCGAGACAACCCCCGCCGCCAGCGCCGCCCGCGCTTCAGCAGCCTAATGGGCGGGGGGCCGACGAGGAAGTGGAATTGGAGGGCCTGGAGCCCCAAGACCTGGAGGCCTCTGCTGGGGCGGCCGCCGGCGTCGCCGAGGAAGCCAAGGAGTTGCTCCCCCAAGACGCGGGCGGCCCCACCTCTCTGGGCGGCGGTGGCGCTGGGGGCCCCCTGCTAGCGGAAAGGAACCGTCGGACTCTGGCCTTCCGAGGAGGCGGCGGCGGCGGGGGTCTCGGCAACAATGGCAGTATACGCGGCCGCCCGGGGACCTCGGCGTGGCCCCTGAGGCATTTCAATGGGCGAGGGCCGGCTGCTGTAGATCTGGAGCTGGACACGCTGGAGAGGAAGGAGTTGATGCAGGACGGCGCGTCCCTGAGCGACAGCACCGAGGACGAGGAGGAGGGGGCGAGCCTGGGCGACGGCAGCGGGGCGGAAGGCGGCAGCTGCAGCAGCAGCAGGCGGTCGGGCGGCGATGGCGGGGACGAAGTGGAGGGCAGCGGTATGGGAGCTGGCGAAGGAGAGACTGTCCAGCACTTCCCGCTCGCGCGGCCCAAGTCTCTAATGCAGAAGCTTCAGTCCTCCTTCCAGGCCTCCTGGCTCAAGGACTTTCCCTGGCTGCGCTATTCCAGGGATACTGGCCTTATGTCTTGCGGCTGGTGCCAAAAGACCCCTGCAGATGGGGGAAGCGTGGACCTTCCCCAAGTGGGGCATGATGAGCTTTCGCGAGGGACCCGCAACTACAAGAAAACCCTTCTCCTGAGGCACCACGTTTCTAACGAGCACAAACTCAACGCCAACGCCCAGGTACGGTACATCCTGGCCCTACTTTCTTGAGATCTTAGTAGGGAAAGATTTATCATTCCCTCCCCCCCCCAAAAAAAATCTCAAAACCATTTTCCTGCGTGAAGACTTCGTTCCAGTTGAAAGGTGCGGGGAGCTTACGCGCGGGGGCTTAGAAAACCTGGGAACGAGTTTTGAAAAGTTCTGTGTGTGTTGTGGGGGGAAGGGGATGGAATGACAATTGTCTTATCGTAGCGCTGGATATTCCTTTTTTATGACTCAGATTTCTTTGCTTATCAGATTGAATCAAAAAGAAAGTGAGGTTGAAGGTTTTAACCTAAAAGCCTGACTTGCGGTAACGAATTTTATTAGCTGTGATTTTAAAGAAGCTGCTCTGTGCTTATAGCCGTTTAGTGTGCTGGTCGAAGGGGCAACTCTTTGAAGAGTGGATTAAACAGTTTTCCATTACTTTTAAGGCTACCCCTTTCAGGAAAACGTCCAGCCGAAAAAATTGAGAGTATGAGATCAAGATAATGTGAAATAAAAGAGCAGTATGTAAATGTAGCGAATGCTATTTGGAGCGTCTTGCTCTTGTGAAGAATTTAATTTTACTAAATTAACCTCTATTGAACTTTCTTTCCAAAGCCTGGTTTTGGTAAATCATTGTAGTTTTTACTTGTTTTCTTTTACTCAGATTTTTGCACTGATTTTTTTTATACTGTTCCTTTTCAAAAAGTTTTTCAAATGCAGTTTACCAGTAAGCACTTTTAAATTTAGCACTAGAAATATTTAGTGTGAAGTTATTTGTATCAAGTAGTGGATTTAGATTAGTAGGGAGTTTATTTACCAAACACCATGAAAGTGCTTACAAAACAAGTAAGTTGTACGTTAGTTCTTAGTCCTTGTTTTAACATTTCCAGTCCAAAGATAGTAAGCATTACTATTTACAGATGTTGATCGGTTCTCCCTTTTTGACTTTAGGGCAACCTATGGCGGTGGATGGAATTCATTCTTTTGTATTGGTAGCCAGCTAGTCGTTGATCTTATAAAGTTAGCTCTCGGATGGTAGTCTGTTGATTGGAATGATTCTGCCGTTCAGCATGCTTACTCTGGAGTTAATTAGGCACACCAGTAACCTCACAGACACAGCACCCCAGTTTCTCAGAAGTTAGGGCTTTAACTTTAAAGCACAGGGTGATTTCCTCCGCCCCCGGCCGCCCCCCCCCCGCCCCGGCCGCCCTCCGCGTCCCTGTGGACTTTAAGTAGTAGGGTTGTTGTTGTTTTGCACACATTTTAGTTGCCTAAGCCCTAGAAGGAAGGTCACTTAAATATGTAAGGCCCAGAAAGGTTAAGTAAATTGTTCTAAGTCTTCAGAGAGTCTAGGGTGACAAAACTGAGACTAGAGCCTGTAAGGAATGTCGTAATGGAAAAAGAATGGATTTGAAGTAAGTCTGGGTTCAGATCCCAGCTTTCTGCCATTACTAGCTTTGTGAGCTTGGGCAATAGAGTGAGATAGAACTAACAGTTCCTTATCTTCGTGTGCCAAACACATTTATTTTGCAAAGTATTTTTGTTCCTATTTTACAAAAGAGGAATCTAAAGCCTTAAAGGGTTAAGTAACATTCCTGAAGTTATCTAGCAAGATGATGGAGATTTGAGAGAATTGTGAAAATGGAAGTTTAATTTTCCAAATAGGGCTAGGTTGTTTACTTAGAAAATTTTAAATGGAATGAATGTAAGAAAATTTAAGAATCTGCTGCGGACCAGTCACTCCTTATCACCGTAGTCTCTCCCTGTAGGCAGATTTGAATGGGAATGCAAATTATAATTAGCTCCTTAAGTGAACCTGAAATCAGAAGAAAGGGGATTAGTTGGATAACGATGTAGCCTCAGCTTGGGTGTATTCTCCTCTGGGCATATATCTGCATCTTGAAATTCCTAGGAAAAACCTTTCTAAACTTGACCTGAACTGTGACTCTTTTCCTCTTCACTTCTTTAAATTTCTCCGTCAGTGCAATCTGCAGGCCATCTCCTTTGGGACATTCTATACGATACACATATATTAAGGACTACAGTTTTAGTAAGTCCTGTGAGTCCTGAGGTTATATGTTAGTCACCTTGATTGGATTTTGGGTGTTTGCACTTTGAATTGATGCTATTCATTTCTTAGTTTCATTATAACTAATCTTGAGAGGGGATATCTTTTTATCAACGCCAGGTACCACCTATATGTATCTCTTTGTCTTAACATGAGTGACAGGTTCCAAGTCTGCTTTATTCCTTTGGTCAGAGTACAATCATTTTTTTCGTTCTTCTGCAGTGTCCAATTACCTGTAGGAGGCAGTATAACACAACATGTAATGTAAGCGCCTACTTGGGCTTAAGGTCAGGGGACTCTGCTCTTAAATCTCTACTTTTTGGGAAAGCAAATTAGTTAACTTCTAGTTTCCTTATGTATGCAAAGTATATGTGCCAGCAAATAACCACTTAGTGCCATTATTATCATAATTACCTTTTTATTTTGTTTTGTTTTGTTTTGAGACAGTGACTCTGTTGCCCAGGCTGGAGTGCAGTGGTGTGATCAAGGCTCACCGCAGCCTCCTGGGCTCAGGCATCTTCCCGAGTAGCTAGAATTACAGGTGTGTGCCACCATGCCTGGCTATTTAAACAAAATTTTTTGTTGGGTGTGGGGGTTTCTGTTACCCAGGCTGGTCTCAAGCATCTGGGCTCAAGGACTCTCCCACCTTGACCTCCTAAATGCTGGGATTACACGAGTAAATGGTGGAGCCTGGCCATTATTATTTATTTTGGTCACCAATCAATTCTCCTATTTATACCTTCAGAGATTTTGTGGCCATCAGGTTCTTTGAACATTCCGAGCCTATTTCTCATACATGCAATTTTTCTCAGCTTCGCAAAGACAGTCTTGAATATCTTGTCTTAAAAACATAAAAATGAGAGGTCTAGAATTCTTAGGCAAGAAATCAGTTTGAGGCTAGGAGTACTCAACTATTTTCCCCATTATTTCTCTCTTAGAGAGTCCCATTTCTGAGAGGAATTTGACCATATCTTAACACAGTCATGTACTGCATAATGAGGGTGGAGTGCATATATGATAATTGTCCCATACGATTATAGTGGAGCTGAAAAATTACTAACACCTAGTGATACTGTAAAGTTGTAGCACACTTTGTTTTTTAAAATTCATTGTAGCTTAAGTGTACAGTGCTCATAAAGTCTACGGCAGTGTATAGTAATGTCTCAGGCCTTTCATTCACTGACACACCCAGAGCAGCTTCCAGTTCATACTGAGTGCCCTGTAAGGTGTACCATATTTTTACTTTACTTTTTTCATGTTTAGATAGATAGATAGACATGCTTCTGTGTTAGAATTGCCTGAAGTATTCATTACAGTAACAGAGTATACAGGTTTGTAGCCTGGGAGCAATAGTCCTGACCATATAACCTAGGTGTGTAGGAGGTTATACCATCTAGGTTTGTGTACAGTATGACATTTGCACAGTGACAAAATCGATGCATGTCTCAGATCATATCCCTGTTGTTAAGTGATGAATGGACTATGTTGTGAAAGATTACTTTTCTTAGTTTAAGAAAAGTCCCTTTTTTTGTTAATCCCTTGGTAGTTAACCGAAAATTTAATTCTTCTGTTAGTTGGACCTTGGTTATTATGGAGTTTTCATGGGAGAGTCATTTAAAACATGCTTTCCGAGTTTGTTTTGAGCCTTCTAATTCAGAGGTATTCCTGTATTATAAAGATATGAGGGAGAATTAATAGTTTTATTTTGAGTAACAATTGACTACATCGTCAGAGTCAGCTCAGTGATTACTAGCTCATTCAGTATCTGACCATTTGAACCAAAAAACTTTCAAATTACCTTAATAACAGTGATTACCACTTATTCTTGGTTTAGATCACTTTCTACCCAGTTGTGAAATTTTCATAGCCTAAATCACACATCCTGAAAACTTCCCAGGAGAAACATGCACCGAAATTTATTGTTGTAAATTTAGTTAACCTTTACAGAAATTAAATAATTTTCAGACCAGTGATCTGATTGAAATTTCCAGTTGGAATATATTGATGTCAGTAGCTGAGCAAACAGAGAATGCAAGGCAGATCTAACCAGCCTAATTTGTTTTTGGCAGAAATAAGGCCTGAAGGTTGATTGGTTGGTTGGTTGGTAAGTTGATTTTTAACACCTGAGGAGGAAAATCTGAAAGACCTTTCACCGAGGAGAAATCAATTAAGTTAGAGTTAAGCCTGTGGCCCATTGAATTCCATTGGTTATTATTTATATATTTTACATTACTTATTTATTCTTTGTGTTTTATTCAGTAACAGTTCATATCCTTTATGCTTTTCAAACTTTTGGTAGCAGTGTCTGACTACATCTTATTGTGTACCTAGGATTAGCTTTCTTTTCCATCTTAAATTTACCTGTATTAGGTTGATGCACGGCACTAGAGAGAAAAATCCATATATAAGACTTCTGCCCTCAAGGAACTTTTAGTTTGGTAAGGAGAGACAGACATGACTGAAAAGATGCAGGTATCAGGGTGGCAATATAATCAGGGTACATTGAAGATTTTTTTTCTTTTCTTTTCTTTTTTTGAGACAAGGTCTCCCTCTGTTGCCTAGGCTGGAGTGCAGTGGCACTGTCTCGGCTCACTGGAACCTTCACCTCCTGGATTCAAGCGATTCTCCTGCTGCCTCAGCCTCCTGAATAGCTAGGACTACAGCTGCACACCACCACACCTGGCTAATTTTTGCATTTTTAGTAGAGATGGGGTTTCACCTTGTTGTCCAGGATGGTCTCGATCTCCTGACCTAGTAATTCACCTGCCTTGGTTGGCCTCCCAAAGTGCTGGGGTTATAGGTGTGAGCCACCATGCCTGACCTGAAGATTAAGGAAGGGAACGATCAGTTCTACATGCAAAGGTTGGAAGAAACTTGTACAACAGACTCTTGAATTTTAATTGCATTAAAGGAATAGATGTGACCA